TTTATACATTTTATATATACAATATGTACAGCTCGCGACGTTGACCGCGTTACAGCCTCGCAATCGCAATTCAGCGCGTATTATATACACAGTTTTTAACGGTGCTCGTTTGCTATTTCGATGCGTATAATAATAATAATAATAATAATAATAATGAGCTTATTCGTGGAACGATATAGGAGGCATACGACGGTACACATTCTCACGCGGTCGGCTCGACGATGATCGAGCGCATGCAGCTTGTTGTCTATACAAGTGTATACGTTTACATAATGTATATCATTAAGGAGGCGGATGCAGCGGTGGTACCGAATCAATCAAAAATTAAAACACTGCAGTAAAATAAATGCATGTGCACGGCGGTGTTTATTTTGACGACGAACGCTATGCGATGTTTTGAAATAATGTCCCACCCTGTACATTCMGATATTCCAAAGTTTTTTAATATAATATATAATTTCCTTATTCGTTTCACCCTCTTATTTTACCTTTTTATTGTGCCCCTTGTCTGTCATTAGCAAACCCACCTTCTCTGATTGAGAGGATGCTGTACACAGATATTCATTGTCTCCGTCCTACAAGTTYGCGGTTTAGCAAATTTACGCTTAGCAGATTACGTTTAGCTTCTTTTGTTTATAAAGAGTGAATTGATCTATATAAATTAACCTTGATAGGAAGACCATTATCTGTGTTTGTACGATGATTTTTTTTTTTACGATACTTTAATTTTTAAGCGAGTTATGTTATGTTTTCAGTGAGTTGTGTTATTCACGCTATATTATACATGTAAAAATTGATAGGAAATTTAACTGCACTTTTTTAATTTTTTACACATATAAGTGCATAGGTATTTGATGATTTTTTAATGCATGAAAGCTCTTACCCTAGGCTTCTATAAACAATAAAAATAGGCAATAACAGTTATATTTATAAAATCTCACGATCATTGGTTACTACACACTTTTTAACTTTGTATTGCATAAAGTGTGATATACTATACTCGTACTAGTCACAGTGCACACAATTTTAGCCCCCGCGGAAAGTACATTTATTATTTCATTTTGTGATGTCTAGAATAAGTGGGATACTTTTTTACAAATTTTGATTTATATATAACCTATTTAATGATATTTAAGAAATAGTTTTCGTTAATGTATATTATTTACCTTTTAACAGTTAAGCTATAATAATTTTATATTGGTAGCTTTTAT